GACCACACGTCTAAAGCGCCGCCTTTCTCCTCCTCCTAGCGCCCTTTCTGGCCGGGTCCGCGCCATTGGCAGATCGTTCTGGCGGAGCAGACTCGACTCTCGTCTTCGTTTGTGCGCCTTGCGTTTCGACAGTAGTAATCCGCTCATCTGTCGATACTACAGGCGGAGATATCTTCACAGCGGGAGGGCTCAGCGCATACCAAGCTGACCCGACGAACACGCCTGCAGCGCCAACAGCTAGCTGTGCGTTCCAGCCGTTCTTGAACCACCAGACGGAAAGGCAGAGTGAGAGGGCTTTACGCGCCGTCAGGACTACCTGAGTCGATACCGCAGACACGCGCTGATATGACATGTTAGCGTGCAGGTCTCGAGAACGGAAAGGGGTGCAACATACGGATGACAGCCGATTGACAGCGCTTACGCACGCGAGCTGGCTAAGGAGGTTGGCACCGAGTACCACGTACGCAAGCCCTCCACCCTTCTCGCCCAGTTTCGACAAGCCACGTATGACGCTAGGCGCGAGAGGGGCAAACATGGGCAAGCTCAACGCATGGGTGTAGAAGACGCCCTCTTGCCAATGCGGACCGTACTTGGCGTAGGCGCGTTCTTGAAGTAGACCAAGGATGCCGGTCAGGACGAGGGACAGAAGAAGCAAGCATACTCCTAGGGCATAGCGAGCTGGATCGGGTGGGGTGGAGGATGTGGATGTCGGACGTGATAGGGTTGCTAGGAGGACGCCTGCTGTTACCAGTGCCACAGCTGCCTGCGGAAGCAATTTCAGCATGTAATCCCCACATCCACACATGAACACGTTAGCGTACGAATTGCTGAACCGAGTATCTTCTCCCCATCACAGTCAAGCCCAAGAACATGCTCACGGCCAGTCCAGCAGAACGGAATACGATCTGGACGGAGAGCGGCACGTCGAACGCGTATGCTGCGTTGTTGAGCACGCTTCCGCCGGCGAAGACTACGACTTGGGCGGCCCATGTTCGAAGGGGTATTGCGCGCGGCTTGAGGCGCGGTAGTCGGTCCCCCTTTGGCCATATGAGGAAGGAGGGAAGGCGCGCGAGGGCGATGAAGGACATTTGCGCAAAGGTCAGCGCGGGGCCTATTGAACAGTTACTTTACTGGACAACTGGATAGAGATATAAGCGTACCAATAGTCGCTTCAGTCTTGAGCAGTCGCTCATATGTCCAGACATTGCTGTATATCCAGTTCAGCTGCGAGCTTGCGGGAGGATACTAGACAACACACCTGCAGCACCCTCCAAAGACTGCCGACGCCATGTACGCGACCATGCTCACAGCGACGGCCGACACGACCGTCTGGGTCTTCTGCATCCCGACAACGGTGCTAGGGGACCGGGACATGGTGGCCGTCGAGTGCAGTCGAGGGTGTACTCAGGAGGAACATGACGTCCGATGAGAAAGTACGCTGCGACCTCGCTACCCGCGACTTGTGACAGATGATTAGCCTTTTTTTCCACAACTACGGACAGGTGACACGGTATAGAAGCTAGATATAGAACAAGTCTCCTGAAAAAGCGGTACACAGCACAGCACATCAACGCAAAAGTCTACCAGCCGAATATCATATCCGAAACCTGACCCAGAACACCCTTGCCCGGCGTCGGTGCAGGCGTCGCACCCGGCCCTGCTGCCTTGGGCGCAGCGGGCGTGGCAGGGGCCGTCCCAGGCTTCCTGAACGCCGACGCTGCCGGCGCCAGTCGCACGGGCGTGTAAGCGCCGCCAGCGCTTCCACCGACGGGAGTGCGCGGGCCGCCCGACGAAGCGCGCACGAGCGACGAAGGCGGCTCGTCCACTGCCATCCCGTCCACTTGCGGTCCTTGCCCCTGCCCCTGCAATGCGCCTGGCGATGTGGAAATGAAGAGGCTCGAGCCCAGGACGCTCTCTGCCTTTGCTTGGTTCTCCCATTTGGCGCCCACCATCCATTGTCCGGCGAGTATTTCTCCGTTCTTGCGTACTGCACGCAACGCGTCTGCCGGTTGATTGTACCCGATCTTGAACGCGTTCAAGAGTTCTGGAACGGGCTCTGCGCCTCCGGAGGCACCGAGTTGCTTGAAGTATTCCGCCGTGACGCTGTATTTGTCCGCCGGGTAGCCGAAGACGATAACGTAGAGCGGGTCAGATGAAGAGTTCGAAGTGGTCGTCGGAATTGGTGGGCGCGAAGATGATGCGAAGAAGGAGTTCTCGAAGGTACGGTTGCGTGAGGAGGTCTGATGCTGGTCTGCGTAGGTGGCATTCACAATGTCGTTCACGGATGCGGTGGGCGGTGCGTCTTCGTCTAATGCTTGCATGCGTCTGAAGAGCATTAGCAAAAGCATACAGCTATAATAATCAGAATATCTCACCTTGAACTCTCAAACATAGGGTCCTTGCCGAACTCGACAGTCGGTGCACGTGTGAGCGACGAGTTCATCTTCGCCTTTGTTTGTACAACCGGCAACTCCTCAAAGCGAGGACTGGTGGACGGTGCATTCTGTAGGCCAGGTATCAGTGTTAAGTTCAAGATAATACCCAGCGTTAAGACGTACATTGTTCTGGGACGCAGACTACGATCAAACACGAATATGAGCTCCTGTAAAAGTGCGACATCATTATAACACATACCAAGATATAGCCCTGCTGATACGTGCTCCTCGATTGTCCGAACGAGTCATTCAAAGTGTTTCCCATTCCACCATGTCCAGCGCTCGACGCGCCCCAAGTACTTCCAGACGGATGATGCCCCGCGGTACTCGCACCACCGTACCCATGTCCACCCTGCGCCGGCCCGGGTGTAGCACTCGTGCGCCCGTACTGCGAGTCGTGGCCGTAGGGAGAATACTGCGAAGAGCTGGGCTGGTACTGTGACGAGTTGAACATGGCTGGTGGTGTGCGAGGAGGTGGCGAGGCGCGTCGAACCTCAGCGCGTTTGATCACGCGTGACTTCATTCAAGATTTGATCAAGATTTCACGCGTCCTTGCCTTCTGGCATCATCTGGGCTCACCTTGACTCGTTTCTCTGTAATAAAATTGTTTCATTCTCTTGAGCTTGTACGACCACTAGAAACGCTATCATCATGTCTACCGAGCAGAAAGAGGACTTCTTCCCGAATATCGGTTCCATTGCCGATACGACGGATGCTACCACGGGAGATGAGGAGGAGAGGACGGTGCAGGAGATCGAGTCGTTGTGTATGAACTGCGAGGAGCAGGTGCGCTTTCAGCTTGAAGGTATATACTTTAGGTGAGCTAAACACTGTGCAGGGCATGACGCGCCTGCTACTCACGACGATCCCCTACTTCCGCGAGGTCATCGTCATGTCCTTCCGGTGCGAGCACTGCGGCTTCCAAAACAACGAAATCCAGTCTGCCGGCAAGATACGCGGTACGTCTCATTTTTCATTACAGTGCTTGTACACGTGCTAAGCTAGGAGTCTAGAACACGGTGTCGTGTACACCGTCCGCGTTCTCGAGCGCGCCGATCTTGACCGACAACTCGTCAAATCCGAGTCATGCACCGTCACCATCCCCGAACTCGAACTCACCATCCCTCCCAAAAAGGGTCAACTAACAACAATCGAAGGTCTCCTCCGCGACGTCCTCACAGATCTCGGCTCCGACCAGCCTCTCCGTCGCATCCAGGACGAAGCAACGTACACCAAGATCGAGTCCTTACTCGACCGCGTGCGCGCTATTCTGGCAGACGACGAAGACGAGGAGGAAGAGAAAGAGCAAAGCGGACCGATTATACCGAAAAAGGCGAGCCAGAAGGACGCACCGCTCAAACCGTTCACCGTCAAGCTAGATGACCCCGCCGGAAACTCTTTCCTCGAGTTCTCGGGCAGCACCGCGGACCCGAAATGGAACATGCGGACTTACCCCCGCACGCGCGAACATATGATCCAGCTCGGGCTCGTCGATCCTGATGCCGAGCCCGCACCTGTGGCGGATGCAGAGCAAACCGGAGGGGGAGGAGAGGGGGAGAACGAAGAGATTTACGCGTTCCCGGGAACTTGCTCGTCTTGCGCTGCGCCCTCGACGACAAACATGAAGAAAGTGAACATACCCTACTTCAAGGACGTACTCATCATGTCCACCAACTGCGACCGATGCGGATACCGAGACAACGAGGTGAAGTCTGGGGGAGCGATCAGCGAGAAGGGACGGAGGATAACGTTGAAGGTGGAGGATAGGGAGGATCTGAGTAGGGATATCTTGAAGAGCGAGAGTTGTGGGATGAGTATACCGGAGATTGATTTGGAGTTGCATGCGGGGACGCTGGGGGGAAGGTTCACGACGTTGGAGGGGATATTGGAGCAGATCTATGAGGAGCTTAGCGAGAAGGTGTTCGCGGGGGATTCGGCGGGGAATTCGGGCGACCGCAAGACATTTGAGGGCTTCCTTAGGGGCCTCAAGGAGGTGCGCTGTTTCGATTGATGGCTTTGCTCTGAAGATCCTGATATGTCTGTGCAGGTTAAGAACGCCGACAGGCCGTTCACACTCATCCTCGAAGACCCGCTCGCGAACTCGTACCTCCAGAACTTGTACGCGCCGGACCCGGACCCGAACATGACGATCGAAGAGTTCGACCGCACGTGGGATCAGAACGAGGACTATGGTCTCAACGACATGAAGCTCGAGGGATACGAAGAGGACGCTGCTAAGGAGAAGGCTGAAGCCGATGCGGCCGCTGCCGCTTCTGCGTGATGGTATGCGTGGCTGTTGTGAGTCATTATGTTGGCGATCGATTGTCTGCTTTCGTGTACATGTAGAGTGAAGTGCTCGTTGTAAAATACTGTACCATTTAGATGTAGCGATAGGTCACGATGTACTCCTGAGTCTCGCTCACCATGGAAGCTCTGCCTCTAATATGCACACATTAATGTTGAGCATTGGACACATCAGTCGACGAAGATTTCTATTGTCATGCTCAGCAGCGAGAAGTCACATCGACACGCTTGGCCGCAAAAATACCACCAATCAAAAGCCATTGCCCATTGGCTGGATTGAACAACCGACCTTACCATTACAAGTAGCACGCTCTACCACTGAGCTAAACGGGCAGATAGACTCCAGTACTCAAAGCGCCGATATTTACAGTCTAGAGTCTTTGTCCCGAATACAGGTTGAACAGCTGTTGTACAGGGAGCATTCGTCGGCAAGACTTCCCATCGGAAAGCACACACTGGGCTCAAGGTGTAGATCGAGTGACATCGAGGCGTGGCAGAAGGAAGCTAGTATTCGACAAGTCCACGAGAAGCTGCGGCTCACGCACTTCCGTGTTGCTCCGAACCATGATCGTGACCTTTTCTTGAGTGGATGTCCTGGGTACTGTTGATGATTGAGCGAAGACACTATCGTGGCTCTTCAATACGCGGCTATACTTGTGACACTGCTGTCTGCGCGAACACGTAGACGTTGACGGTACTAGACCGATTTCGGTGCTTGCACAGCCTTAAATCCGGACTCGGAGTCAAATACCGCGGTCTCGATATTTCTTGTCTCTCTTGCTTTCATCCCCACTGCGATCATGGGTGTTAACCTTTCATATATTGGTTCGACCCAATACTATCGCTGTTACACTGGCATCATGATCTGAATATACTGTATAGGCCGCTTGTTCGCCAATGAAGAGGTGAAAGTACTCATGCTCGGCCTTGATGCTACTGGAAAGTCGAGTATGACATGTCACGCCTCTACCTCGCAAGAGTCATACTAATGGTGCTGGTAGCTATCGTATACTGGCTTGTGGGACATAAAGGGTTTATACCCATACCGACGAGTACGCTGTTCCCGTCCCTATCGCCTCACCTATGTAGTCTAATTTTGCTTCGCAGTCGGCTTCAACCTTGAAACCATCAGGTACCAGAGTCTTGACTTCATTGTTCAAGACTTTGGAGGTGGTGAGAAGCTACGACCAATATGGCACTGCTACTATCACTCGGCCCGAGCTGTCATCTTCGTCACCGACTGCGGTGATCGCGAGCGCATAGACGAGGCCAGAACGGAGCTGCACAAGCACATAATGTCTTACGACAATCTGCGCGAGCTCCCAGTTCTTGTGTATGCTAATAAGCAAGACCTGGAGAAGGCCATGACGGTCGAGGAGGTGACGGAGAAGCTGGGGATGCACGAGCTCAAGGAGAGTACGTGGCATGTGCAGTCAAGGTATGTTCGCCCTTTATCTTTGAGGGTACCCCTCGTTGATTCTTGACTACAGCTGCGGGAAGACTGGAGCAGGTTTATACGAGGGCCTGCATTGGCTTGCGCAAAACTTCAACAAGCCACGTTAGCGCGAGAGGTACCTTTAGCACCTCTCTGTCTACTGCAAGTACGATTCACGAAACTTGGATAAGTCTCTATCGAGTCGAGTTCCGCGATTTTTGATGCGAACCGTACGGATCCTGATTTGCTCTCTCTCTCTCTCTCTCTCTGGGCACTGTATGATAGTGACCGTGCTCCCTATTCGTGGCAGCATTGGCCTGGCTCGATTCCCGTCACCTAACACTGGGTTCACGAAAGAGCTTCGAGGTAGACGTGGCTGACTACGACCGTGCTCCTGAACACGTCATACAATGGCGCCCACACTGCCTTAAGTAAAGCCGGGGAAAAGTACTCTTCTCAACGATCATAGCCCTACGTTCTTTCCCATCCTCGGGCCCATTCATGGGAGCGACACTCTCGTCGATTAGCCAGCGGGCTACTGGTATGACTATTGACCAACTGTAGAAGTTCATGTCCGAATGTGTCCTGCAGGCAGACTGTTTTCTGATCCAGAAGTAAAGGTCGCGATGGTGGGGCTTGACGCTGCTGGCAAGACGAGTAGGGCATATCTTCTACATCAACAAGAACACGACTGATACATAGGTTCACCGCAAAGCTATCTTATACCGGCTTCTCGGTCACCAGTACACCGAAGACATACCGACATGTCCGCCATAGTACTCGCATTTTTGCCGCTTCCATAGAACCTAATCGCTTCTCTCATCTAGACGGTGTCAATTTCGAAACGGTCAGCTACCAAAGTACCGACTTTGCCGTGATGGACTTTGCAGGCGGGAGGAACATACGCGCCATGCGCGACGCCGTATCGGGAGTTCAGACCATTATATTGGTCGTCGACTGCGCCGACCACGAGCGGATGGACAAGGCGAGAGACGAGCTGCACAACAATGTTCTCAATGTTGCCGTCGAAGGCACAGAGAAACGCGCGTTGCTCGTATTCGCGAACAAACAGGACTTGCCGAATGCTTTGTCCTCTGCCGAACTGACGGAAAAGTTAGGGATGCACGAGTTGAAAGTGACTCGATGGCATGTGCAACCGAGGTACGTCTAAACTTACCTGACAAGGCATTCCTCATTGATTCTTCATTGAAGCTGCGGAACGAGCGGTGTTGGTTTATTCGAAGGCCTGCATTGGCTTGCCCAGAATGTAGATAGGTGGCATTGACTCGTGGTATGGGTCGTACACATCCTGATTGACACACAAACCATTGTGCATGAGCGACGCTCCTTGGTCGTGGCGATCTTGGACTGGTTCGATTAAGTACCCTGACTCGGCACCGGCTACACTGACAAGTTTCAAAGTCGACGTGGTTTCCGCATGTCGAGATATGCGTGTGCTCTTGAACACGTCATGAAATGGCGCTCGCACTGCCTTGAAGCCGGGGATAAGTACTCTTCCCAATGCTCATAGCCCCACGTCCTTTCACATCTTCGGAACTGATCATGGGCGCGAACATCTCATCAATCAGCCAGTGGGCTACTGGTATGGCTTCGATCCAGCTCTGAATGTTCACATTCGAATGTTCTTCGATAGACCAGCTGTATCCCAACCAAGAGGTGAAGGTCGCGATGTACGGACTTGATGCTGCTGGCAAGACGAGTGCATTGCATCTTCTACAACACCAACAAGCGCGTTACTGATGACCGACCCGCATAGCCATCTTATACCAACTTCTCGGCCGGCAAGACTTCGAAAACATACCAACCAGTCCGTCATAGTTCCTTGCATTCACCGCCTATACAGAACTTTGATCACCGCTCGCACACAGTCAGCTTCAACATCGAAACGGTCAGACACCAGAACACTGACTTCACCCTGCGCGACTTCGGAGGCCACCCAAAGATTCGCCCGCTGTGGAAGTGCTGGTCCAACTGGGGAGCTCAGGCCCTCATATTCGTCGTCGACTGCACTGACCGCGAGCGCATAGACGAGGCGAGGGACGAGCTGCACAACAACATTTTCAACGAGCACTGGCCCGTCGTCGCAAACATAGAGAGATGCCCGTTGCTCGTGTTTGCGAACAAACAGGACTTACCGAATGCGTTGTCCTCTGCTGAAATGGTGGATAAGCTGGGAATGCACGAAGTAAAGAATCGTTGGCATGTGCAACCGAGGTACGTTCGACCTTGCCTTTCCTGGCGAAGTCCTTGTTTATATCCTCGCTGGCAGTTGCGCAACGACGGGCGAAGGTCTTCTCGAGGGTCTGCATTGGCTTTCTCAGAATGTAGAGAAGCACTACTGGCATCGGTGGTGCTGAAAGTCCGATGATGTCGTTTGAGCTTGCTAAGTCCGGCGAACTCTTTGTCGAGATCAATATCTGGCATGGTATGCTGCTATGCGCACTGCCAGCCATCTCTTCGAAAGCACCGTGCGCCGAGCGATAGTCTGTTGCGGTCACGACGTCAGCCAGCTTCCTAAGCCATGTCAGCTTCTTGCCACGTACCGAGTATCCGAGAACGTATATCAGCCCAGTCAGTACGCACCCACGCGTAACACAAGTCAAACAAACTTGCACGAATCAAAGAAGATCTGCCTACACCTTGTTCCGATCAGAGCAAACAACAACCGAAGGCGGCACGACAACTGGGCGTGACAACCCATCCTTGCCATTGTCCGAGGGAGAACGTTGGATCCAGTGAATATAACCAATTCCAGTCCAGCAATGTATACACGGTAAAACAAAACTGAACACGAAACACAAGGGACAAGGGGACACCCAACGTGGAAAAAAAGGGGAACAAAAAGGATGTGAACAACGACGAATGAACGGGGCTTCTTAGGGAGGCTGACATGGATAACGACAGGCGTAGGTGTGCGGGTCAAAGCTGGAAGCGCGAAGGGACAGATAGGAGGTATTGAGGATAAGAGAGGCGGTTAGGCGATGCATAGGGACGAGACAGGCGGCGGGGCAGGGTCAGATGCGGATTAGCGCCCAGGGGATGGGCGGACCAGGATTAGCGTACGGTGGCGGCGAGGGGGTATGTAGACGAGCGAGCGGATAGGCGTGGCGTAGCGATGCTAAGGTATGCAGTATGTTGGTGACAGCGGACAGGGCGTCGTGCGGGGTCGTGAAAGAGCGGGTCGGTCGTGACAGAGATAGCGCACAGGTTACTGCGCATGTACGGGCTCGACCTTTTCGCTCATCTCATGTGCTTCACCCATGCCGTGTATGTGACCGTCGTCGCTTTGAATAGCGCTGAGCGGTACGCCAACCTCCGTGATCCCGTCCGCACTCGGCATCCGTATGGGTCCGTCCATATCGCCCGAGATGGCGGGCGTGACGGGACGGCTGGCGACCATGCCGCCCGTACTACTCGACGCCGTCATCGTGGACACGATCTGCTGGTTATGCGGATAATACGACCTGCGGTGCATCTGCTTGAAATCGTAGATCGTGAACTGCTCCTCCATCTGCCTCATCTCCGCGCTAAGCGTGCTGATGTCCCTGTCCTTGCGCTGCTTCGCCTTGAGCGGGTTATCCTCCAGAAGCAACTCCTCGAGCTCGTGCGACGCGTCGAAGTTCGCCTTTTTGCTCTGTTAGGGAACAAAGGGTCAGTTGGGTGCGGAGGATAAGCGGGGTGGGAAATATTGCGGCGCACGTCAGGCACAAATGGCGAGGGCAGTTCTTTCCGCGTCAGCGGGTCCCAGTCGATGCCAGCGAACCACGGGTGTTGCTGAATCTCCTCCATACTCTCGCCCTTGGGGCTGCACGCTAGTCGTTTCCACGGGTCGCGGTCGAGGAACTGACAAAGTCAAAGCCACCATCAGTTCCACAAT